TTGTGCTTAGTAGATGGCATTATCTAACTCTGTGGGTCAATATGACCTTAACTTTCATCTCATTATATATCTACAACAGTGTCTTATCAGTGCTTCCTACTCTTTGGTATTTGTATAATGTTTAAAGAATTAATGTGAATCCATGGAACTTAGCTCTTAGTAGCAAAAAATCAAATTATGAATTCTTAATGTGGATGAAAAGGGCCACATGCTAACTTGACAAAATCAGGGGAGGCCTGCATAGTAGTCTTAGAAACTCAGAGACCTAAAGTAACCACAAACGATGGTCTGAAATTAAACTTTAAAAGCAGTTATGGTGGGTAGTTACATACTATGCCGGTATATTCACGGACAAGGTCAACCTTTACTGTAACAGCCTATCTGTCTTTTTGCATCTATAATTACTCTAGTGGTTTGATGCACAAAAATCTGTGTGAGTGGGGGGGGGGGCCCAGGAAGAGGGCTTCCCCCAGCCATGCTTCTCCATACTAGTACCCCTTGAAGGATGTCTTACTGCCAGTTTACAGGGATCAGGCCTGAAATGCCAGTCGGACATGCCTTTCATAATCTGGGACTGCTGGCTCCTAACTACTCACCTGCCTGCCTGATTGCCTCTAACCACTATGCATGCTAGCCTGCTCACCCCCCAAATGCCCCACCCCCTGCCAGTCTGATCACCCCCAATGCCCCCCTCCCCCCCAACCAGCCTGATCACCCACAACTGCCATCCCATCCTGGCCTGATCACCCACAACTGCCTTCCCCTCTTGGCCTCTAACTACCTCTACCTTGGCCCCCGCCACCATGATTTTATCCTGAAGAATGTCCACAAGGTCTCCTGGAAGGTCTACCAGTCTAATTAGCATATTAGTACAGTGGCATGGTTCATGGGTGGGGTTGGCTAATTTGCCCAGAAGGGTGTCCCAGATCAGGGTGGGATTCCCTTGGGGTGTGGAACAGCTTGGCTTGGGGCCCGTGGTGGTTTTCAGGCTGGCCACACCCCCATGGGGTGTGGGTCACTGCTGGGAAGGGCATGGCCAGCCTGGGTGAGGAGCTGAGGTCTGTTTGCAGGCTAGCCATGCCCCCTAACAGGTCCCTCACCACATGGGGCATGGGCAGCCTGGGTGTTTTTAGGTTAGCCACACCTCTTCAAGCATGCAAGTCCCTGCTCAGGGTGGGGGTTCCCTTGGGGCATGAGGCAGCCTGGCGAGGGGCTTATGGTGGTTTTCAAGCTGGCCATACCCCATGGAATGAGAATCCCTGCTGTGGGGGCCATGGCCAGTCTGGGTGAGGGGCTGAGAGCTGTTTGCCGGGTGGCCACGCCCCCCAGGGGAACTCTTACTCCATGGAGGCATGACCAGTCTGAGTACCAGGCTGAGGGCTTTTTTCAGGATGGCCATGCCCCCCAAAAACCCAAGCTCCCAGCCCTTCCTTTTTCCCCCCAGCCACTCCTTGAGTGGAGGCCAGGATGGGCTGGAAGCCTGGATCGGCCCTGGAGCCCCAGGCCCTCAGCCACTCCTTCAGCAGAGGCCAGGGCAGGCGGAAGGCTTGGCTTCCTCTGTCACTGAGGGCAATCCAAGCCTCCTGCTCACTCCAGCTCCATGGCTGCCACCATCTTCATTGGGTTAATTTTCATATTCACTCCTGATTGGCTGGTGGGCATAGCAGAGGGTTAATTTACATGCTTCTCTTTTATTATAAATACCCTTTGAAATGTCTAGGTAACTTGTAACTTCCCTTTTCCTGGACCCCTTGGGGCACAACCTAATGTGCTGGGCCCCAGGACAGATACCACAAATTCCTTCATTTTTATCATGTTAATTGTTCCCACACCCACCTAAGTATGTGTCTATCATTTTACTTTTTATCCAATCCCAGGGGTTTCCCTGATTTTCTTTCTCTCACCTCTCTAGTCTATCACCAATGGATTTCATGTAACCCACCTATATTCTTTTCCTTTGATTGTAATGTATAAATACAAATGTAACAATGTATAAATACAATCTCCAGAGCATTATCTCAATTCATTGAGGTTCTGCTTCCCAACATATGTTGACAGTTTGGCTGAAATAAACTCACAAAAATTCTTTACAGGCTTCAATGGTTTTTTTACATTAACATTAATTGCTTAGATTCTTCTGAACTAAAATTATAAAATTAACTACTCTTGTGCAGAAAAAGTAGAAAGTGGGGGAATTAATTGATACTAGTAGGCTTACTATAGAGTGGGAAAATTGTTTTATACTTGTTCAGATGAAAAATATTAGATAATCCTATCTAATAAAGAGGGAATATGCTAATTGATTCTCATGCCTTTGCAAAGATGGCGGCCTCACAGCCATTAAAGAGGGGATATATTAATTGACTTCCTCTCCCTCAAAGATGGTGGTGCCCACAGCCACAAGATGGTGGTGCCCAGTCCCCTCAGCCTTGCTAGGGAGGCAGGCATGCAGCAAAGCCAGGCCCACTCCCAGGTGGGCCCAGTCACTCTGCGTACCTGCCGCTGGAGTCCCCCAGTCCCTTCAGCCCCTCAACCACCCAGGGCCAGCTTGAGGTACAGGCAAGCCTCGGATGGTAGTTGCCCAGCTGTCCAGGGCCACCCAAAGCTCAGGTAACCAGGGCAGGCCGAGGCTTGCACTGCTGCCAAGTGACAGCAGCAGAGGTGTGATGGGGAGTCGTCTTCCCCTGATCACCTGGTCGCCTCCTGCCTCTGAAGGCTCCCAGACTGTGAGAGGGGGCAGGCTGGGCTGAGAGGCCCACCCTCCAGTGCATGAATTTTCATTCACTGGGCCTCTAGCTAGTTTATAATAATACAAGAATAAATGGTTTTGAATATTCATAACTGTAAACCTACTTTTGCCCCACTCTATTTGTCTTTACTGGTCATTTCATCTTCAGATACTAAGCCTCTCAACTGCAAATAACTAAGATCTGAATGTATCACAACATTGTTAAGAAAACCAGTTACATCACATTAAGGTGAGACTGAAGTACTGGAACATATTTACAAAAAGACTGTGTGCTCATTGGCTTGGGGATATTTTTAATGTGAATGACTTTTACTTTAGTGTTTCTCAAAGTGTAGTCCATAGACCAGCAGCAGCACCTTACCCTAGAAACTTGTTAGACCGGCAAATTTTCTGGCCCCATCCACACCTACTGAATCAATCTCTTGGGATGGGATCTAGCAATCTCAGCATTAACTACATTTCCTTATTAAGAGAAGCTGGAAACCAAAGCCCAATATATTTTTCTGACATCATCAAAAGTTTCCCAAACCATTTTTAAAATCTTTATGACTGAGTTAAAATTATCTGGACTTTTAAAACAAACTACTACAGAGGGAAGGCAGGGAGTGGGGGATGAAGGAAGACAGGGGTAGGGGGTGGGGGATGAGTAGTGATCCATGGTTTTTGGACTGGAACATGTGGTGTGCCCCTGGGCAGGATAGTTCCCTGGATTCTTTGTCTGCAGAGACTGAAAATGGCATAGCAAATGTGGAGATTTATTGAAAACATGTATAGACTTTCATGTGGGGAGGGGGAAAGAGTCCCATTGATTTCCTATTTCCATGGTTTATAAAGACTGCAGTTCCTGTGCCCTGATATTCCCTCTGGTTAATATTCTCTTTTGAATTGGTTACTATTGAGCTCAAAGGTAAAATATCATATGGGACATATGATATCCGCCTCCCTTATTGTTCTCCTATTCCTTTTGGGTTTTCTTCCTCTTTTGTTTTGTAAATATAGACCTTTTGGCTACTCTCAGTTCCCTTGTCTTATGCAAATGTAACTACACCTGGATCCCTTGTGTTATGGAAATGTACCTTCTCCCAGTCTGTAGCCCTGGGAGTGTTTTCATGGACCTCCAATTCTAAAAATTCCCTAAACCTGCCTATATCCCCCTAAAATTTCTATTTCAAAAGGACTTGTATGCATGCATATAAGCATAGCCCATGGACACAAACAGTAGGGTGAGTGAGAGCATGGGCTGGGGGTGGGGGAATGACCAGTGGGCTGAAAGGGGTCAATGAGAGAAAAAAGAAGACATATGTAATACTTTAAACAATAAAGATTATATATATATATGAAATAAAATATTTTATTTAGTAATAAAAATAAAACAAACTATCATTCTTTGAGGAGTGGTATTTTGGTTTTTGAATCTTAAATCTTTCTTAGGCAAGCAGAGACACAGAAGTAAATTAAACCCATACATTTTATTAAGTCAAATAATTAATTTTCTATTCAATAAAAATGACTATTGTTGATGGTTCATGGCATATTGCCAGCATGTAATGAATCTGAGAAATCAAAATTAAAAGATGAAACAGAGGGACCAGAGACCAGGATGAGGATACAGGCTTTATTGGAGAGAAGACCGCTGCCAGCTGCCTTCCAGAGGGGAAGGAGCACACGTGCAGGGAGTGAACATGCCTTTTGAGGGGAGGAAAAGGAAGGGATGAGGCTTAGGGCACTCAGCAAATGCTGATTGGTGGTTTCATGTAAGGCACATGATTAGGGACCTAGGGACTTAGGAATAGGGGGGCTTAGGGTATTTGGCAGGTGCTGATTGGTGGTTCAATGTATAGTCCATATAAGATGCCTGGTTAGGTGCTCAGGAATGTTCAGACTGCAGGTGGAGTTTACATCATTCTCTATTCCAGGCATCCTCAAACTTTTTAAAGTGGGGGCCAGATCACAGTCCCTCAGAGAGCTGGAGGGCCGGACTATATGAACTACTAATTCCTACTGTAACACCTCGGCTGCGCTCACTGCCCAAAAAACCTGGCGGGCTGGATCAGACTCATCTGCGGGCCGCATATGGCCCGCGGGCCGTAGTTTGAAGACACCTGCTTGGGGGAAGGGAGGATCTATTAAAAATCTTGGACACTCAATCAAGCCAAGACCCTGAATTGGCTAAATGATATTAGGAAGAAATAAGAAAATTAAAGATGAATTGTGTGAGTGAGAAGAATGTATCAGTTTTACGGACTATCAGTGGACATGCAGCAGGATGTTCAACTCCCAAAGCAGCAGCCAATGGTATATATCTGTGGAGACTGTCACACAGAGAATAAAATAAAATCCCAGGATCAAATCAGATGCAGAGAATGTGAATACAGAATAATGTACAAGAAAAGGACTAAAAGGTTGGTGGCTTTTGATGCTTAATAAAAAAGAATTCAGAAAAATATCTTTATTTGCATTTGGATTTGCTGTTAATGTTGTATAGGTTTTGATGAGTACACTTATCTTTAGAATTCAACTAAATACACTTGATTTGATTTTTAAAACCATATTATATTTAGGTATCTATTAGTAGTTTACAGAAATAATTTTTGTTCAATTAAAAAAAGATGAATTGTGTCTTTTCCAAGGTTAATTACAGAACAAACATCTATGTACAAGGTGGTCTAGTATGTGACATATGTTGAAGGGCTAGGACTAATTCATTGGAGATAATGCACAAGTACTGTTCATTATTTAAGAACATATTACCCTCTGAATTCTCTAAAAGTCAAGGTCAACTTTGTATTCATACTTTATTTATATTCTTTGTTAATTTAGAAATAGTCTTTTGAGTACCCCTCTAAACATGTCATTGTATAGCCTACAGGCACTCTATTGAAAATATTCAGAATAATCATTCAACTTTATTCAGTCCCTGGTATTTTCTTAGCACTGTGCCAAGTGATATAAAAAGTGCATAAATATAAGATATATGGAGATAGAGATAGATATATAGATTATACAGGGAGGGGCAAAAGTAGATTTATAGTTATTCATATGGAAAATAGCACAATAAATAATAAATAATAATATAAGAATAAACTATATGCTTTGCATACTCACAACTGTAAACCAACTTTTGCACCATCCTGTATATATGTCTCTCTATATATCTTAATCTCAAAAACATATACAAGCTGATTAGGAAATGACAAATACTATTTATTAAACATCTGTGATAAATATATGATAAATAGTTATTATATACTAGAGGCCTGATGCACGAAATTGGTGCACTGAGCTGTGTGTGTCCCTCAGCCCAGCCTGTACCCTCTCCAATCTGGGACCCATCGAGGGATGTCTGCTTGCCCATTTAGGCCAGATCCCAGTAGGATGAGATCTACACGGGCATTCAGACATCCTTCTCACAATCCAGAAATGCTGGCTCCCAACTGCTCACCTGCTTGCCTTCCTGATTGCCCCTAACCACTTGTACCTGCCAGCCTGATCACCCCCTGACCGACCATTCCCCTGCCAGCCTGATTGATGCCCAACTGCTCCCCTGCTAGCCTGTTTGCCCCTAACTGCCCTTCCCTGCCAGCCCGTTTGCCCCCAACTTGCTCCCTCAAGTTGCCATACTAAAATGCAACAATAGGAGGACTAAGAAATTGCATAATCCAGGTGGAATATAATAGCATCTTGAGTCAGGGTGGTAAGTATAGATATAGAGAGCAGGTCATATTTTGGATATATTTTGAAAGTGGAGCTATCAGAATTTGCTAGTAGGTTATATGTGAGGTTGTGGGGGAGAAAGACCCAAGGATGAGAGCAAAGTTTTCAGTCACAGTAATGAAAAGGATAGAGTTGCAACTAACTGAGATGGGAAAGACTGTGAGAGAAGCAAGGTTTGGAGGTGAAATTAGGAGTTCTTTATTGAAACATCCCAGTGGAAATATCAAGTTGACAACTAGATGTGTGAATCTGAAGTTCAAGGAGGAGGTTCAAACTGGAAATGTAAATTTAGGAGCCATCAGAATATTTCTGCTATTTAAAAACACAAGCATGGACTTTGTCACCAAATAGTTCATATAGCTGGATCAAAAGACTGGGCCCTGGGGGCACTCCAGTGTTTAAAAGTCCATTCAGCTCTTAAAAGTCATCCCAGAACTAGGCTTTACAATAGTAGATGGGTTTTTTGCCCTGTAGTAAAATGTTTAATCTTAGTCACACAACTATGTGTCCTTATACAACTCTAGATTAAATACTTGATATAAATCATATTCCCAGACAAGGAGAGTAGGTAATATTTTCAGCTCTACATGAATTAAATGAGCCTGACCAGTCTTCTAAAATGTCAGACCATTTCATGTAAGCACTCAGGCTTCCAGTACACTTGCCTATTCATGATGTTAGCCCCACTCATCATTTCGCACTGTTCTTCCATTTAATTTCTTAAAAAATAATACTTTACTTGTGGGCCTGGCTGTATAACTATTTTTTTAAAAATATATTTCATTAATTTTTTGCCCCCCTCCCTCCCATACTTACCCTCCCTCCCCAGAGTTTTATGTCCATTGGTTGTACTTATATGCGTGTATACAAGTCCTTCGGTTGATCTATTATATTATCTCCCCCAAATCTCCCTCCCCTCCCCGCTGTAATTTGACAGTCTGCTTGTTGCTTTACTGTCTCTATATCTATCTTTTGGTTCATCAGTTTATAATGTTCTTTATTATCCATAAATGAGTGGGGTCATGTGGTGTTTCTCTTTCATTGATTGGCTTATTTCACTCAGCATGATGTTCTCCAATTCCATCCAGGTTGCTGCAAATGATGAGAATTCCTTCTTTTTTATGGCAGCATAGTATTCCATTGTGTAGACGTACCACAGTTTTTTTATCCAGTCATCTGTTGACTGGAACCTAGGCTGTTTCCAAATTCTGGCTATTATAGATTGTGCTGCTATGAACATAGGGGTGCATATGTCCTTTTTGATTGGTGTTTCTAGTTTCTTGGGATATAAATCCTAGGAGTGGGATTACTGGGTCAAATAGGAGTTCCATTTTCAGTTTTTTGAGGAAACTCCACACTGTTCTCCACAGTGGTTGCACCAGTCTGCATTCCCGCCAGCAGTGCAAGAGAGTTCCTTTTTCTCCACAACCTCTCCAACACTTGTCGTTTGTTGATTTGTTGATGTTGGCCATTCTGACAGGTGTGAGATGGTACCACATTGTTGTTTTGATTTGCATCTCTCGGATAATTAGTGACTTTGAGCATGTTTTCATGTGTCTTTTGGCCTTCCTTCTGTCTTCTTTTGAAAATATTCTATTTAGGTCCATTGCCCATTTTTTAATTGGATCATTCATCTTCCTTTTATTTAGTTGTATAAGCTGTCTATAGATGTTGGAGATTAAACTTTTATCAGTGGTAACATTTGCCAATATGTTCTCCCATACAGTGGGCTTTCTTGTTGTTTTGTTGATGGTTTCTTTTGCTGTAAAAAAGCTTTTTATTTTGATGTAGTCTCATTTGTTTATTTTCTCTTTAGCTTCCATTGCCCTAGGGGTAGTATCAGTGAAGAAGTTCTTTTGGCATATGTCTGAGATTTTGTTGCCTGTGGATGCTTCTAGTATTTTTATGGTTTCCCATCTGATGTTTAAGTCCTGTATCCATTTTGAGTTTATTTTTGTGAATGGTGTAAGTTGGTGATCTAGTTTCATTCTTTTGCATGTATCTGGCACAAGAACAGACATATATAATAGATCAATGGAATCTAATTGAGAACCCAGATATCAACCCAAATCACTATGCTCAATTAATATTTGACAAAGGAGGCACAAATATACAATGGAATCAAGACAGTCTCTTCAATAAATGGTGTTGGGAAAATTGGACAGATACAAGCAAAAGAATGAAACTGTATAACTATTTTTTAACTATATTTTAACTATGTGTGTGCTTGAATCAGAAGAAGTATGTCATAAAGTGAGCTTACTCTTCACCTTGACCTCTTGGCATTTGCCCTATGCTTTCACAAGCATTCACTACAGTTGGCTTTTCCTTTCTTGAATACTTCTCTGACATTGGCTTTAATTGTACTCACTATCCTAATATTTTCCTGCCTCTATGGCTATTTCTTTGATCTTTTGCAAATTCATCTTCCCCTCATAAAACTCTAAATGCAGAAATTTATTGGGTCTTAGTCCTAAGCCTTCATCTTTATCATGCATTCTCTCTCCCTAGTCAATTGCATCTCTATTTCCAGTTTAAAATACCATTTACTAGTATATGCTAATGAATTCCATATCTTTATCTTCCTGCCCAATCTCTATTCTAAATTTAGACATATATTTAACTGTATATACACTTAGTTCTTAGAAGCATCCCAAACTTAAATGATTCAAAATGAAATTTTTGGTATTTTCCTCTAATACATTTCCAATTTCAACATTCATCCAGTGGTTTATGTCAGTAACAGGAATTGTGTCTTTGACATATCCTTCTTCTTCATTCCTTCATGTCAAATCTTGTTAATGAAATCTCCAAAATATATGTCAAACCCACCCTTTTGTCAAATAATTAGATAAGGCAAAGAAGCCTAAAGTTCTGAGAAACAATATGAAGCTGATGGAACTCCATTGACATTGCGCAATAAAAGAGTCTCATCTGATCTTGGATGGAACACAATAGAGATATTATACTTCAATCCTTTTTGGGGATTAGAACTATAAACATTTAAGGTTAAAATGGATTTTAGTGATATCTTGCCCTATTTACTATCTTCGTAATAAAAAATAAAAATAAAACCCAGAAGGTAAATGTATTATTCGAGTTCTTACAATTAGTAGTGGAAGATTTAGGACTAGTACCTACAAGTCCTAATTCAGTATAGTGCTATTTCAGAGCCATGTAGGCAGGAAATCATATCTGGGTTTTGATAAGTATGAGTCTAGTGCAGTACAAACATTGTTCATTATCCTTTATTTTCTAAAAAGTAATACAAATCTGGTTTTGTAGAAATTTTCAGCTCTGTAGTAGTAGTAGTGTGAATTGTTTTGTCCTAGCATCAACATGGTTTGACTTAGAACAAACAAGCAAATTAACAAATACCCTGGCTTGAAAAGAGCTCAGAGCTCAGGTTGCAAATCACACAATTACTTGTGGTTGATGGACTTTGGATATTTGTGCAAGGTCTAAGATTTTGGAAGAAAACTTCTGGGAAAGCAATGGCTTTCTGCCATCTCCACCTAAGCCTTCCTTGAACTCTGCTACAGCTTTCAGGATGATTCTGCTATAAGCTTCAAACACTTAAGACTATCATCCTTTTTTTATGAGAAAGATAATCCTGTTAATGTTTCAACAACTAAATTGTCTACAAATATGCACTAACAATTAAAGAGGGGTGGAGATAGACCAGATGGATCAATGGGGGGAAATGGGGACATATGTAATACATTCAACAATAAAAATTTAAAAATAAAATAAACAAACAAAAAAAACCAATTACATATGATAACAAAATTGTGCCTTTCTGTCTCTGAAGAACCTTATAATAGAATGAACAAAATGTAATTGAATTAATTCCAGAAAAGATTAAGGCAGTTGCCAAAACCGGTTTGGCTCAGTGGATAGAGCGTCAACCTGTGGACTGAAGGGTCCCGGGTTTGATTCCAGTCAAGGGCATGTACCTTGGTTGCAGGCACATCCCCAGTAGGGGGTGTGTAAGAGGCAGCTGATTGATGACTCTCTCATCGATATTTCTAACTCTCTATCTCTCTTCCTTCCTCTCTGTAAAAAATCAATGAAATATATTTACAAAAAAAAAAAATTAAGGCAGTTGATGACAAAATTTCTTTTCTTACAGAAAAGAGTTGTAGTATTTATGAGTGAGAGCACAAGTTCTTTCCTTACCTGAGGTAAACCCTATTATTACCTTATTACCCTTGCAATTAATTTGCCAGATTAAGATTAAGATCTTAATTAAGAATTGCAATTAAGATCTTTTATTAAATTATTTTTAAATACTAAGCATGAAATCATTGACATAGGACTTAAAAATGTTACAAAAACACCAAAATCAAGACTATTTCTTTCATTCAAAATAAAATTATCTGATCATATCTGCTTAATTTAATAAACACCTAACTTCTGTACTTTGGCAAAAGGAAAGTCATTGAGACAAATACTGCTTATATTGCCAAATATGTGATTTTGGCAACATGTTTTTCAATCATATGATATGTATAGTTTGGGTCACATAGATTTTAGGTTCATGAAGAACTGTTTTAAATCTTGCCTCAGTCACTTCCTCACAATACTGAGCAAATTACTTAAAATACAGATGCAAATGCTCAGTGTCCCTACCATGCTAAACTACTTAGCATTACCTAAGGTCATTACCACATTTCAGCATTGTTGTACCTAATGTCTCCTTTCTTATTCTCATGAAAGCCTTCATCTCCGCTATCCCTTCATTGTCCTGTTAACTACTCACATGCTAAGATTCAGTTTTGTGTTACCTCTTTAAGGAGTTGCCTCTGACCTATTAGAATTTAGGTTTGTACTCAGCATACCTGCCTTGAGTGTTAAACTCACTTTCAATTCTGTTTTGTTGTCTTATCTTCCAATTCCTTCAAAGCAGGAATCTTGACATTTATTTTTTCATTTTTACCACTTAGCATGAAGCTGAGCCCATAGTAGGTTTGCAATGTATTTTGGTAAAAAAAAAAAAAAAAAAAAAAAAAAAGGAACATGGGAAATGCAGAGGAGCTAGAGAAGTTAATAAAAACTAAAGTTACAAAACTCTTGATCTCTAATTAGTGTGATAAAAAGCATATGTGTCCAGAATTACCTACACTCACCAAGTATTAGAAAAATAAGCCAAAGACTAAATGATAGCTACAGGCTACTCTTTGCTGTTCAAAGTCCAGTTCCTTGCCTGGCAAAGCCTGCAGTAGCTATTCAACCCCTCCTTTGGAATCAACTCCCAGGCCCAGCTTCTGGCCAGCTTCTTTTCTTTTTCCAGCTATGTCTCGAAGTGGAAAGAAAAAAGTAACAGGTTGCCAAAAATCAGACACTTCAATTCTATTTTTTCTGTTAACGTAAGAAAACATTCAAACCTATAAAGAATTTTTGTGAGTTTATTTGAGCCAAAATGTAGACAATTGCCGGGAAACAGAATTTCAATGTATTGGAAATATGCTTCAGGGAATGGCACTTTTTCATCTTGTTTTATACATTACAATCAAAGGAGTAGATGTAAGTGGGTTACATGAAATCCATTGGTGATAGATTAGGGAAGTGGGAGAAAGAAAAGTGGGGAAACTTCTGGGACTGGATAAAAATTAAATAATTTATTTTGCACTAGAGGCCCACTGCACAAAATGTGTGCATATAGGCGCGGGGGGGGGGGGGGGGGGGGAGGGGGCAGAGTTGTCCCTCAGCCCAGTATGCACCCTCTCCAATCTGGTACCCTCTCACAATCCAGGACTGCTGGCTCCCAACTGCTTGGCTGCCTGCTTTCCTAATTTCACCTAACCACTTCTGCCTGCCAACTTGATCACCCCTAACCGCTCCTCTGCCAGCCTGATTGATGCCCAACTGCTCCCCTGCTAGCCTGTTTGCTCCTAACTGCCCTCTCCTGTAGGCCTGGGTCCCTCCCAATTCCCCTTCACTGTAGGTCTGGTTGCCCCCAACTTCCCTCCTCTGCCAGCTTGGTCACCCCTAACTGCCCTCCCCTGCAGGCTAGATTGCCCCCAACTACTCTCCTTTGCAGGCCTAGTCCCTCCCAAAGTCCCTCCCCTGCTAGCTATCTTGTGGCAGCCATCTTGTGTCCACATGGGGCAGCCATTTTTGACTACATGGGGGCATCCATCTTGTGTGCTGGAGTGATGGTCAATTTACTTATTAACCTTTTATTAGATAGGATAGAGGCCTGGTGCTCAGATGGGGGCCAGGTGGTTTGCCCTGAAGGGTGTCCCAGATCACGTTGGGGGTTCCCTGGAGTGTGGGGAAGCCTGGGTGAGGGGCCTGTGGTGGTTTGCAAGCTGGTCATGCCCCCTGGTGACTCAAGCAGATGTCCTGGTATCTGGGACATTTTTTATCTTTTATAATTGAAACTTTGCAGCCTGGTGCTGAGCCAAGCCCTCTGCTTGCTCTGCGGTGGCAGCCATTTCTGTTGGAATTTATGTATTTTCTAAATTGAAACCTTGTAGCCTTAAGCAGAGGCCTGGGCTGGCCAGGGTGTGTGGAAAGCTTGGCTTCCTCCATTGCCAGGGGCAACCCTAGCCTCCTGCTCTTTCCAGCTCTGTTTGGATTTATGTATCTTCTATCATTGAAAATTTGTAGCCTTGAGTAGATGTTTAGGTTGGCAAGGCCAGGCAGAAAGTTTGGCTTCCTCCATTGTCAAGTTAACCTAAGCTTCCCTTCTGCTCTCTGTGGCCATAACCATCTTGGTTGGGTTTATTTACATATTTGCTCATGATTGGCTGCTGGGTGTGGTGTAGTGGAGTTAATTTGCATATCACTCTTTTATTAGAATAGTTGGGTACATAATAGTTAACAGTAAGCAAATAACAAAAGAACAATTAACAAGGGAATTTTAGGTCTCTTCCTAAACATTGGAACATTGGTTGTGCCCTGAGGGATTCTGAAAAAGGGAAGTTACAAGTTACCTTGACATTCTATGGATATGTTATCATAGATGCAAAAAGACAATAGGCTCAGTAAAGATTTAAGTTGATCGTTGTCAGGGAAGATATTGGCCTAGGACATGACTATAAATTGGTTTTTAATTAAAAAGTTTTAATTTCAGACCATGCTTTGTGGTTACTTTAGGTCTTTTGAGTTTGCAAAGCCACCAAGTAGGCCTTCCTTGAATTAGGTTAGCATGTGGCCTCTTTTTTAGTCACATTTTCTTCTCTTTTTCATCATAAGCCATTGGAAAACATCTTCTCTGTATGGGTAGAAGAACTGAACAGTCAAGTATCTAACTCCAACAGCAGATCTAATCCTAGAGCCTAATCCTAATATATAAAAACCCTGGGTCATAAGACCAGTAACAACCAACCAGAAGTCAGTCCTTGCACTGCAGGCACAGTGCCCCAGCACCGACTACTGAGGGGGCTGCAAATCAGGGCCAGAGAGAGGCCTGAAGAGAGAAGCAGGGACTGATCTGTTGCCTCTGAAGCAGATTTTGATCAGCACTTGCTTCTCTCTTTCTCTCCCAGTCTGGCCAGCAGCCATGCCTCCATTTCTCTCCAGGCCTTCATCAGGCAGCTGATCAGCCCAGCCTTCCTGATCAGACCCTGTTAATAGGCCCAGGGATGCTGACTGGCATAGGAACTGACCAATCAAAACCAAATGTGGATGCTGTGAATAACCAATGGCTGCCTAGGAGGCAGAGCTTCTGATGCTGACTGGCATAGAAACCAAACAATCAAAACCAAATCTGGGTGCTGTGGGGAGCAAATGGCTGCCTAGGCAGTGGAGCTTTTGACTGTCATAGAAACTGACCAATCAGAACCTAATTGGCCATCAGAGGAGGACAGTTGGGGGCGAGATCAGACCTACAGGGGAGGGCAGTTGGAGGCAACCAGGCTGGTAGGGTAGGGCAGTTGGGAGTGAGATCAGGCCAGCAGGGGAGGGCAGTTGGGGTGGTCAGGCAGACAAACAGAGGCAATTAGGCACAACCAGGCCAGCAGAGGAGGACAGATAGGGGTGATCAGACAGGCAGGCAAGTAAGCAGTTAGGAGCCAGTGGTCTCAGATAATGAGAAGGATGTCCAATGACTAGTTTTGGCCCCATTCCTCTGTGGGATTGAGCCTAAACTAACCATCCAACATTCCCCCAAGAGGTCCCCAATTGGAGAGGGTGCAGGATGGGCTGAGGGAACCCCAACGCAGAGCACAAATTTCATGCACTAGGCCTCTAGTCTATTATAATAAAGTATAATATGCTAATTAGACTGGCTGCCCTTCCAGACATCCTTCTGGATGAAGCCAGGGCTGCAGGGGAAGTTGGGTCTCAGGTGCCAGAGGGAAGCTGGTATCGGCAACCAGGGGAAGGAAGGCCTACTTTTGCATGATTTTCATGCATCAGGCTTCTAGCCCTATCTAATAAAAGAGTAATATACAAATTGACTATCACACCAAGACATAAGATGACTGCTCCCATGTGATCAAAGATGGCTGCCCCCATGTGGACACAAGATGGCTGCCACAAGATGGCCACCACAAGAAATTAGGGGTGACCAGGCCAGCAGAGGAGGGCAATTGGGGGGTGACCAGGCTGGCAGAGGAGTGCAGTTGGGAGAGACCAGGCCAGCAAGGGAGGGCAGTTGGGGAGGACCAGGCCTACAGGGAAGGGAAGTTGTAGGGATTGGGAAAGCAGGGAGGGCAGTTAGAGGGTTACCAGGCCACCAGTGGAGGACAGTTGGGGGGACCTAGGCCTGCAAGGGAAGGCATAAGGGGGGTGGGGGAACCAGGACTGCAGGGGAGGGCAGTTGTGGGCGATCAGGCCAGCAGGGAAGGCAGTTAGGGGTGACCAGGTCAGCAGGGGAGAAAAGTTGGGGGGGCATGCTTGCAGGGGAGAACTGTTGGGAGGGGTCAGGCCTGCAGAAGAAGGCAGTTGGGGGGTGGGGGGACAAGGCCTGCAGGGGAGGACAGTTTGGGGGAACCAGGCCTGCAGGGGAGAGCAGTTGGGAGCCAGCAGTCCTGGATTGTGAGGGGGATGTCCTATCACCTATGTAGGCCCGATACCAAGATTGGGCCTACATAGGCAGTCAGACATCCTTTAAGGGGTCCCAGATTGGAGAGAGTGCAGGCTAGGCTGAGAGCCACCCCTCCTGCACAGATTTTATGCACTGGGCCTCTAGTCATTATATAAATAATTGAGTTTATTAGACAAGTTTAATTTGGCAAATAGAGAGTCTTTGAAGAGAAAGCAAGTATTAGCCACCAAATTCTGTCTATTCTTAGACAATAAAAAATGTTTATAGCTACTCCTCAGCTGCTGAATCCATTACAGCCATTGAAACAATATATGTTAATAAGGAGCCACTTAACTGGAACTACTATATCTATGTGATTTTTTTTTTAATGAATAAGGTAGTTACCAGTTTTTCTACATTTGAGCCTTTGATAAATACTTTTTTTAAAGTTAAATAAGATATGGGACCTTGGCCTGGTAATTCAGTTGGTTAGAGCATTGTCCTGATACACCAAGATTTCAGGTCCAATCCCCTATCAGGACACATATAGGAAACAACAAATGAATACATAAATAAGTGGAACAACAAATCATTTGATGTTTCTCTCTTCTTCTCTTTCTGTCTCCCTTCCTCTCTCTCTCTCTTTATTATTTTTTTAAATATATTTTATTGATTTTTATATGCCCCCCTCCCTCCCTCCAACACATCCCCTCCCTCCCCAGAGTTTTGTGTCCATTGGTTGTACTTATATGCATGTATAAAAGTCCTTCGGTTGATCTATTATCTCCCCCAGATCTTCCTCCCCTCCCCGCTGTAATTTGACAGTCTACTTATTGATATACTGTCTGTATATCTATCTTTTGGTTCATCAGTTTATAATGCTCTTTATTATCCACAAATGAGTGAGGTCATGTGGTGTTTCTCTTTCATTGATTGGCTTATTTCACTCAGCATGATGTTCTCCAATTCCATCCAGGTTGCTGCAAATGATGAGAATTCCTTCTTTTTTATGGCAGCATAGTATTCCATTGTGTAGATGTACCATAGTTTTTGGATCCAATCATCTGCTGACGGACACTTAGGCTGTTTCCAAATTCTGGCTATTGTAGATTGTGCTGCTATGAACATAGGGGTGCATATATCCTTTTTGATTGGTGTTTCTAGTTTCTTGGGATTTATTCCTAGAAGTGGGATTACTGGGTCAAATGGGAGTTCCATTTTCAGTTTTTTGAGGAAACTCCACACTGTTCTCCACAGTGGTTGCACCAGTCTGCATTCCCACCAGCAATGCACGAGGGTTCCTTTTTCTCCGCAACCTCTCCAACACTTGTCGTTTGTTGATTTGTTGATGTTGGCCATTCTGACAGGTGGTACCGCATTGTTGTTTTGATTTGCATCTCTCGGACAATTAGTGACTTTGAGCATGTTTTCATGTGTCTTTTGGCCTTCCTTCTGTCTTCTTTTGAAAATGTTCTATTTAGGTCCATTGCCCATTTTTTCATTGGATAATTTATCTTCCTTTTATTTAGTTGTATAAGCTGTTTGTAGATGTTGGAGATTAAACCTTTATCAGTGGAATCATTTGCAAATATGTTCTCCCACACTGTGGGCTTTCTTGTTGTTTTGTTGATGGTTTCTTTTGCTGTAAAAAAGCTTTTTATTTTGATGTAGTCCCATTTGTTTATTTTCTCTTTAGCTTCCATTGCCCTAGGGGTAGTATCAGTGAAGAAGTTCTTTTGGCATACGTCTGAGATTTTGCTGCCTGTGGATGCTTCTAGTATTTTTATGGTTTCCTGTCTGATGTTTAAGTCCTGTATCCATTTTGAGTTTATTTTTGTGAATGGTGTAAGTTGGTGATCTAGTTTCATTCTTTTGCATGTGTCTGTCCAATTTTCCCAACACCATTTATTGAAGAAACTGTCTTGACTCCATTGTATATTCGTGCCTCCTTTGTCAAATATTAATTGAGCATAGTGATTTGGGTTGATATCTGGGTTCTCGATTCGATTCCATTGATCTATATGTCTGTTCTTGTGCCAGTACCAGGCTGTTTTGAGAACAGTGGCTTTGTAATACAGCATGAAGTCTGGTATTGATATCCCTCCTACTTTACTCTTCTTTCTCAGGATTGCTGTGGCTATTCGGGGTCTTTTATTGTTCCAAATGAACTTTTGGAGAGTTCTTTCTAGGTTGGTGAAATATGTCGTTGGTATTTTAATGGGGAGTGCATTGAACCTATAGATTGCTTTAGGAAGTATGGACATTTTGATGATGTTGATTCTACCAATCCATGAACATGGTATGTTCTTCCATCTCCTTCCATCTTCCTCTATCTCTTTTTTCAGTGTCGTGTAGTTTTCCTCATATAGGTCCTTTACTTCCTTAGTTAAATTTATTCCTAGGTATCTTAATTTTTTTGGTGTGATGGTAAATGGAATTGCTTTTTTAGTCTCTGTTTCTGCAGTTTCTCTGTTGGTGTATAGAAAAGCCATGGATTTCTTGGCATTAATTTTGTATCCTGCTACATTGCCAAATTCATTTATTAAGTCAATTAGTTTTTTAATGGAATCTTTTGGTTTTATGTACAAAATCATGTCATCTGCAAATAAGGATAACTTTACTTCTTCTTTTCCAATTTGGATGCCTTTTATTTCCTCCTCTTGTCTAATTGCAATGGCTAGTACTTCCAGTACTATGTCAAACAGGAGTGGCGAAAGTGGGCATCCCTGTCTTGTTCCTGTTCTTAGAGGGAATGGTTTTAGTTTTTGCCCATTGAGTATAATGTTGGCTGTGGGTTTATCATATATGGCTTTTATTATGTTGAGGAATGATCCTTGTACTCCCACCTTGTTAAGAGTTTTTATCAGAAAAGGGTGTTGGATTTTATTGAATGCTTTTTCTGCATCAATTGATATGACTATATGATTTTTATCTTTCAATTTGTTTATGTGATGTATCCCGTTTATTGATTTGCGGATATTGTACTAACCTTGCATTCCTGGAATAAATCCTACTTGGTCATGGTGTATGATCTTTGTGATGTTCTTCTGGAGTCGATTTGCTAGAATTTTTTTGAGGATTTTGGCATCTATGTTCATGAGGGATATTGGCCTGTAATTCTCTTTCATTGAGTTGTCTTTATCTGGTTTTGGTATTAGGGTGATGCTGGCTTCATAGAAGGAGTTTGGAAATGTTCCTTCCTCTTGGATTTTTTGGAATAGTCTGTGGAGGATAGTTTTTAGTTCTTCCTTGAATGTTTGGTAAAACTCTCCTGTGAAGCCATCTGGCCCTGGGCTTTTGTTTGCTGGAAGCTTTTTGATGACTGTTTCAATTTCTTCCAAAGTCACTGATTTATTGAGAATTTTAGATTCTTCCTGATTGAGTTTTGGAAGATTATATTTTTCTAGGAATATGTCCATTTCCTCCAGGTTGTTCAGTTTGTTGGAGTAGAGTTGTTCATAGTATATTGTAACAATCCGTTATATTTCGGTGGGGTCTGTTGTTATTTCACCTCTTTCATTTCTGATTTTGTTTATTTGGGTCCTCTCTCTTTGTTTCTTGGTTAGTCTGGCTAGAGGTCCATCTATCTTGTTTATCCTTTCAAAGAACCAGCTCTTGGTTTTGTTGATCTTATGTATTGTTTCTTTGGTCTCTATGTCGTTTATCTGTGCTCTGATTTTTGTTATTTCCTTCCTTCTACTTACAATGGGCTTTTCTTGTTGCTCTTTTTCTAACTCTTTGAGTTGTAGAGTTAGGTCATTTGTTACACTTTTTTCTAGTTTTTTGCAATAGGCTTGTAAGGATTTGAACTTTCCTCTCAAAACTGCTTTTGCTGTGTCCCATAGATTTTGGATTGTTGTGTTTTCATTGTCATTTTTTTCCAGGATGTTTTTAATTTCTTCCTTGATTTCTCTGGTAACCCAGTCCTTGTTTAATAGCATGCTGTTTAGTCTCCATGTGTTTGATTTCTTTGGATTATTTTTATTGTAGTTAATTTCCAGTTTTATGCCATTATGGTCTGAGAAGATGCTTGATATGATTTCTATCTTCTTGAATTTGAAGAGACTTTGCCTATGTCCCAAAATGTGGTCTATCTTTGAGAATGTCCCATGTGCATTTGAGAAGAATGTATATTCTGTGGCTTTGGGGTGGAATGTTCTGAAGATTTCAATTAATTCCATTTGGTCTAGTGAGTCATTTAGGATTGATATTTCTTTGCTGATTTTTTGTTTAGATGATTTGTGAAAGGGTGACAGTGGGGTATTAAAATCTCCTACTATGACTGTATTGCTGTTAATCTCTCCCTTAATGTCCTCCAGCAGTTTTTTTATGTATTTGGGTGCTTCCGTATTGGGTGCATATATATTTACCAGGGTTATTTCTTCTTGTTTGATTGCTCCCTTTAGTATTATGAAGTGGCCTTCATTGTCTCTTGTTATGTCCTTCACTCTGAGATCTAATTTGTCAGATATAAGTATTGCTACCCCAGCTTTATTTTCATTTCCATTTGCCTGGAAAACCTTTTTCCATCCCTTCACCCTCAGTCTGTGTGCATCTCTTTTTCTGAGGTGGGTTTCTTGTAGACAACAGATGTATGGGTCTTGTTTTCTTATCCAATCTGTTACCCTATGTCTTTTGATTGGAGCATTTAAACCATTTACATTTAATGTTATTAATGATAGGTACTCATTTGGTGCCATTTTTATTCTATACCCCTGTGTTCCTTCTTCGCTTCCTATTTCTTTATTTTTACAGTAGACCCTTTAGCATTTCTTGCATTGCTGGTTTGGTGGAGATAAATTCCTTTAGTCTTTTTTTGTCTGTGAAGCTCCTGATTTCCCCTTCAATTTTGATTGATAGTCTTGCTGGGTACAGTATTCTTGGATTCAGACCCTTTCTTTGCATGACTTTGTATATTTCATCCCATTCCCTTCTGGCCTGATAAGTTTCTGTTGAGAAATCAGTTGTTAGTCTGATGCTGGTTCCTTTATATGTAACTTTCTGTCTCTCTCTGGCTGCTTTTAAGATTCTAACTTTGTCACTGGTGTTCGCCAATTTAATTATAATATGTCTTGGTGTTGGTCTTCTGGGATCCATTTTGCTTGGGACTCTGGGAGCATCTTGGATTTGTGTGGGTTTTTTCTTCTCTATCTCAGGAAAATTTTCTGTCATTATTTCTTGAAATACGTTTTCCATATCTACCTCGGTTTTCTTTCCTTCCGGAACCCCTATTATTCAAATATTGTTTTTTGTTTTGCATTGTCCCAAAGCTCCCGTAGGCTCTCCTCCTGCTTTTTAATTTTTTTTTTCTAGAAGCTGCTCTAATTGGGTATTTTTTTCCATCTTGTCTTCTAGCTCACTGATGCGATCCTCTGCTTCTTCTAGTCTGCTCTTGATGCTTTCTATTGAGTTCTTCATAGTAGCGATGTCATTTTTCATTTCATCTTGAGTCATCTTCATTTCCTCTTGGGTTTTTTTCATTTCCTCTTGGGTCTTACTCATATTGTCAAATTTGTCTTCCATTCTTTTTAGTCATCTTAAGATCGTTATTCTGAATTCTTGCTCTGGTAGGTTGCTTGCCTCTATATCGTTTACTTCCTTTTCTGGTGAAGCCTGCTTTTCTTTCATATGCGGGCTGTTTTTTGGTCTCCCCATGATCTAGGATGTCTGGTTGTGTAGTTCTCTCCTGCTTTGATTTAAAGGCACAAAATACAACACAACCAGGTACAACACACAAGGCACTGAATAGAAATGTGTTTGCGATATTAATAACCACCAATAAGGGTGACTAGAACCCAGCTAACAAAAACATACAATCAAACAAAAAGCATAGGCAAATCAATCTTATAAAAGAAAAGCATACAACTTCAGTAAAGTTAACATTCAACATACAACTTCAAAGAGTTAGAGAGAAAGACTGTTTTGTATTTTTTGTTTTGTTTTGTTTTTAGAACAACTGCGAGGGAGGTGTGAATGGGTTTGGAGCAGGTAGTTGGAAATTAGATATATACAAGTAGGGTGAAATTTTAGGAGGGGGTAGACAGAAGGAATGGGGGAAATCTAGAGCAGGTAAGGGTTAAGATAAACAGGGTATCAAAGGAAAAGATTGGAAAGAGGGTGAAGGCATAAAGGTAGGGTTGAGATAGAATAAAGTGTTGGAGAAAGAAGGATAGATAAAGACTGTAGAACAGTAATCCTGAAATTTAATATATATATATATATATATAATCAAATGAAATAAAAATAATAAAAAATAAACAAAAGAAAATAAGATGAAAAAGGTAAAATAGTAGTAGTAATAATGTTGATTACATATACAATGTAATAATTATCAAGATAAAATCAAGTGAGGAAAAAGAAAAAAAGTTTCTTGAGTAAATGTTGCAAATAATGAAAACAAAAATAAAAAACAAAAATTTAAAAATTAAAAAAAATAATAATAAAATTTAAAAATTTTAATTAAAATTTGCAGTAATGAAGGTCATTCGCTTCCTCTATTGTTATGATCCAGTCCTGATTTTTAGGCAGGTTTTGCTTTGTTTTTTTTACACTAGAATCAATTTGTGAATTAGCCTCTGGGGGCAGTGTTTCTAGGTTGACTTCCAGACTCTCTAGAGTACGGGTGTCGAACTCAATCAGAGAAGGGGCCAAAATCTAAAATCTAGCCTAAATCACGGGCCAAATGGTTTACTGAACAGTCATAAACTGTCATTGTGATGGAAACGCAGTGGAGTGCAGTGATGACAGCGCGGTGCGGGCCACATTGCAAGGCCTGGTGGGACGGATTTGGCCCGCGGGCCTTGTGTGTGACACATGTGCTCTAGAGCCTCTCCAGCTTTTTTTTTTTTTTTTTCATCCTTTCTGAAGCTGGAACTATGGAGGGGGGAAGGGGATAGGTCCGAGCAACTGGAATATCCCGCAACTCTCCGATATCCCTCTGAGCTGGATCCAAATGTGTTGCTCTTTAGATATCTCCCCTGTTAGGAGCCCTGTCCACTTTCAAGGGTGACAACAGCCCAACAGCGGGGGCTTCTACTTGTAATCACCGCCCTTGTCCTCCAGCTTCCGCGAGCGCGCTCTGTGGGTGCAGGCTTTTTGTTTTCGCCGCGAGCGCTCTCCACCCTCTCCCCGCGAAATCTGACCTTTTCGCTGAGCAGTGGGGCAATCCTGTGAGGGCAGGTGTTTGCGCCGCCTGGGATCCGCGTTCTGGGGGTCACAGATGCTTGGCGGTCGCTGCGGCTGTGGATATTCAGGCCTCTGACACGATCCTATCTTCCTCTCAAGATGGCGAGGTTTCCCCGTCCAAGCCGGTAGGTAGCTCCAGGCAGGGACACAGCCCTCGTGGGTGCTTCCCTGTGAGGGGCACCTCTGTCAGCAGCCCCCCAGCAGTTTCTTCTGGTGTTCACTGTCTCCCAGCTTGCCGATAAACACTCACAGCACAAGACCCTCAGTTGCTCTCTCTTTCTGCTTCCGGAGAGGGCTCAGAATCTGCCCATCTATTCTTCCGCCATCTTACCTCTCTCTCTCTCTTTAAAATCATTTTATAAAGATAAGTAAGATAAAGTAGGTTGAAGAAAATGACTATTTCAAATGTAAATGCATGACATTTAGCATCTGCATTTTTTAATGAATGAGAATTATGCTTCACAATGTTCCGTTCATGCTGCTGTGCAGATTAGTACAGACCTGGGAACTGAGAGAAATAAGGCAGAGCCTAAAGAAATGAAACAGGAACAATGAAAATGTTATGATACAAATGGGCTGGGAGAAGGCAACAAACCAAATGCACTTGGAGGTTCAGAAAAGGACTGCTTATTTGTACTGGTGCTGGCTCAGAGGAATCATCTCTCAAGGCTGAGCCCCGAACATGGCTGGGCTTTGCCTTATATACATACACATTTATGTATGTACTAGAGGCCTGGTGCATGAAAATCCATGCACTGGAAGGGGGTCCCTCAGCCCAGCCTGCCCCCTCTCACAGTCCAGGACCCTCAGGGATGGGAGGTGACCACCCAGTGTTCAGGGGAAGGCAATGCCCTCATAACACCTCTTTCTGCTGCCACTGCTGGCAGTGTGAGCCTCAGCTGGTCCTGGTTACCTGAGCCTCAGGCAGCCCTGAGCCACTGGGCAGCCACCATCTGAGACTCACCTGCACCTCGGGCATTGGCTGGATAGCCACCATCTAAGGCTTGACTGCACCTCAGGCCATCCCTGGATGGCTGGGGGGCGTGAGGGGACTGGGGGACTCCAGAGGCAGGCACATGGAGCGGCCAGGCCCACTCCCTTGTTGTGCACCTGCTACCTGGGCGGGGCTGCGGGGACTGAGCGCTGCCATCTTGTGGCTGTGGGTGCTGCCATCTTTGAGGGTGTGGCAGTCAATTAGCATATTCCCTCCTTATTGGCTGTGAGCACCGCCATCTTTGTGAAAGAGTGAGGGTC